TTATTTTTTAAAATTTCTGTAGAATACCATATTGAATTAAAGGTTGTCACGTTCTTTATAGAACAAAACGTCGGTATCTTTTACCTAAATAGGAAAAATAACACCGAGTTTCTATGCATTTGATTGTTCTATGATATATTAGCTGTTGTTTGGTTTCTGGCATATTGAACACGCTCCTCAGACCGCGGCTAACTTTCTTGGAGTACCGCTCGCGATCATCGCAACTCTGTATCAGAATGATACCTAGGTATACGACACAATCCGTTTTAATTCTAAATCTACGTTTTTACATTTTTTTTCTGTGATAAGCAACCATGCACGTATTTCAATATCGGTCTTCTAGGCCGCTAGTGTAAAATGTCCTTTTTTAGCGAAGAAATAAATATACGAACGCATCAATACTATATGCATATTAACAATCCAGCCAGCTATAATTTGTCAAAAAGGTAAATATTGTTGAAGAGCCGGATATCATACATCTTCTACAGCGTTAATCAACCCAACCTTCGAGCTCTGGCCCTTGTTGCTATTATTATTATTATTATGTAATCGTAGCAGAACGTTACGAACCTGAAACATAAGACAACCTATCTGCTACCAAGTCGATCATTTAGAAGCGTGCCGTTATTAAAAGAGGAAACCCGTGGACCTGCGACAGTAAAATTTAATGGCGCACTAATATTTCATTACTGTATTAGGTTATCGTTCTGGTTATCACCATCATGAAATATTAATGATGGAACAGCTGGTTAAAAAATGCCACGGCTTGCTCTGTAAGACCGCATTGCCGTGGTAGATCTCGACCATGGATGCGATGACCGCTTGAGCTGTAGGTAACTTACCGACTAGTGACAATGAATTTTAATCTAGTCCTAATCTAGACTAGATTACCACTGATCTCAAATGTTCGTTGGTCGAGTAATTCATATATTTAATGTTTACTAGTCCAATTTTCAGGTGTTATTATGCTTATGCTGCAACCAGGATAAGTTTTAGTCGTAAATATCAACTTCTTCCTGTTTTCATTGTGTTCTTATCGTGGGCATTTTCAGGTTACATCTAAACTATGGTAAGCTACATTCTGTGAGTTTCAGCTAACAGGTCATCGCAGCGTTGGAAAACTTGCCTTTCTTGCACCTCGAACGCTGAATGCGCCTTCATTCGTTCACGATTACGGCCTTATAATTCTGGCCATACACTGCATCATGTTAAAATTTGAATGAACCACTACTACGGGTCTTTCATTCAGGACGGTCTCATTTCAGAAATACAAGCGTTTCTTTTGTTCAATTGTTATCGGGGGGTACACAAACCGATAATATGACCGGCTTTAGCCGAACTCTGCCCTCCCACCTGCTGCTATACTTCAAGATGCATCGTACGAAACGGGATCGTTTAACGAAACGCTCGAGTTTTCCAACGGCTTTAACCAGCTAGCAGAATAACATAGACCGTACAACCGGCGACAATTACGAAAGTAGATACAATTGTACCTGCTAGCCAGCCAGCAACAGTTAATAAACTAATTAGTAAAAGGTATCACAAACCGTAAAAATTGCACCCGGTAGACTGATTTCACATGACTGCCTTAAGTGAATACTACAAGCTATACAATGGACTGTCTTATTTTTTAAATTTCTTCTAGGTTCTCACATCTAACGCAAAGTTAGTAATGGCAAAAGTCCACAGGGAAAAATATGAAAGCGTTGCAACATCAGAGGGCCATCTTCGTCGCGATAATTAACTGTCCCGTAATTTTCTATTCCGTTTCATAGCATTCTATGCACGCATAGCCCATATGATGAGCCGATGAGTTTTTCGCTGATGTCTGTCACTTAGGAGCTCGTATACACGGACATTGACGTAAAATAACGTTAGATACGTGCTGTACGCGTGTCAACAGAACAACGCACAACGGTTCTTGACAACAAACAGCAGGCTCTCAGGTAGGTTACGAAGGACGCCAGCATTCGGCTTCGGTGCACTCACGCTTTGCTGAACCATTGACGCATAATATAGGTTGCAAGCTAAAAACAGCGCACAAAGTATACAGGCTTAGGTCGCAGGTACTGTCTAACTAGGCTTCATCAATACCGGGAGAGATAAAAAGTAAAGGCAAAAATATTCGTTTCTAACAACTCGACTAAAAACAGCAGCAGTTGCTGCTGCTATAGTGGTAGTAGTAGCCATGATGGGACAAGTAAATAAAAGCGAGTAATGAGATGGGAAAGCGCTTGAATTGCTTTGTTGTACGAGACAATCTTTCCCGCTGAAACCGCACTGACAGACACATGGGCTTGAAACATGTCAAATGCAGCTTTCGTATACAGAACTGCTCATTCGAGCTAATTCAACGTACTTTCTCTGTTATGTAGTTTGCGAGCTCCAGTTGGCGTGTAAATAAAATAGCAGTCAGCAAGACTATCGGATAGTTTTGTAAATTGTATCCGCGTACCTGTTTTACCTCTTGATATGCTTGTAAGGGTACGAAGCAGACAACGTGCTGACAAAATTCTGCATCACTAAAACATGTATAGGCAGATGGCGTCGTCGTAGTATATAGATAGCACGGTTGTAATGTATATATATTATTCTGCTATACGTAATATATGGGTGTTTCGCCGATTACGATTATGGTGCCAATATCATTTGTTTTTCTTTTTCTATTGTTATAACTATCATCACTACAAGTAATAGCCTTTAGTTTATAACCGTCTCGCTGCAACGCAGTGCAGCTTGCCGAAACATCAGCGCCATTGGGTCGCCACCTTGTATCGCGTATTTCAAAGTCTGTGTTTCAGAATGACCTTTGGAAGCCAATTTGTTTGGCAACAAGCGCAATGATCCACGACCGCCCACGGATAGACGAACGCGTCTCGGTGGTCTTCCAGCCCTGAATTAACGAGTAGGCCATCGAACAGTAAACGGGCGATAGAATGGCATTGTGTCGACAACGCTGCTTAATGGGTTGAACGATTACATTGTAGTATAACAGAAGGACTGACAAAGAGCGTAGCGGCGGCCTAATACGGCGTGATATTATAAATGTCATAAATGTGCACTCGATATAAATAAGTGCATATCTAACGCAATGTCCTTTAACATATACCATAGTAATACATGGCTTATCGCTGCATTTTAGGTTTTAACCTTGAATTCATGTAGTCAGGCTGTACAAAAGTAAAACGCCGATGAGCCAAAAAGAGTACACCCTTAAGATTTATCCTAACCTGAACTGTGCAGTTGGGGGTGTTAATTGAAGATGACAACTACTGATTTGGAAGTGCTGATCGCGCAAACTTCAGGAAATGACCAACTTTCAATTCATTCTCTCATCATTCAAAAAGTATCAGTTATTATTACGGCTGTTATCAATATGGTACTATTGTAAGAGAATAATTAAGAAAAAGAACCGTCATTAGTATCCTGCCTGCCTACACCATAAGCTTTGCCTACATTTGACAAAGTAAGCGTAGTAATTTTCCGTTTGAATATAGTCAGTCGACATTAACTGGTCTATAATATTTTCAGCACAGCTCTACGGGCCTAGGCCTTCGGGGTGAGAGTTCCTTGCAGTAGCCTTTTGGACAACATACAGTGATAAACAGCGTTTCGCCTTTTAGAAGATGTTGCTACTTTTGTCGTCGTCGTCATTGCAGCGAATCACCTGTCATTTATTATTACTATTTTTATTCTTCTGCGTCAGGCCTGTCGGCCACCAGCTGAAACGATTGACATTGTCAATTGGACATCTCCACTTGTTCTCTATGCTAATTTAATAGTACTACTAATATTGTTGTTCTTGGTTGTCGTTCCTGTGAAACGCTGTCTGTCCGCAACAGTGCATCAATGTTGAATTTCTGTTGCCGAGGCCGTTGCTCCTTCGAGTCTTACGGTTTTCTCATTGTTTCCATAGCTACAACTAGAAGATTCAGAACCGCCACAGGTGTTGATGCCCCCTATGTTGTCGTTTCTTGAACGCTGTATTCTATTCCTAATTCTAGCCTTCCACGTATCACTTTACAGAGCAGTAGGTAGAGGAATTCGAAATTTTCATAATGATCGGCTGAAGGGGTCGGTTCCACGTTATATTTGTACTATGAATTTCATTGTTCCATACAGAGTCAATAGTCTCGGCTGCCATTCAGAACAATTTACGCTTCCGCTTAATAACGATTCACCAGGGATCATAAAAGTCAGATCTCGCACTTGTTTACCACGTAACAACAGAGAAGGGACGCGGTACAGAATTACGTGGCTATATTTGTATGTATAACAATCTAACTTTTTCATTGTGTTGGACTCAACTCTATGTCCCATGTCTCCATGGTGTACTTCCCAATGTTATGACGCATCGATCGTATAGCGATTTAGAGTGGTTAGTAACAATGAAGTATATTTATTTACTAAATTGTGAGATATAATCAATAAACCAATCTGTGTGATTATACTTTTGTTCATATTACTTTAGTACATCATAATGTCTTGATCTTATCATTCAGGATAAGAACTTGATGATGATGACGATGATTTCCTAAAGAAGGCGTACCGTGCGGGCAACCGGCAGTTACTAGCGGATTGAATTGACTATAAGCCTATTCAATAACAGGACAGAGGGCAACGGCAGTCGATCAGACCGCCGAAATTAATGGCCTAATTTTATTTTTTAGCTTTGATAGAATATCTTATTTGATAGTTCAAATAGGTCAGGATAAGAATAGACAGTTGCTGAAAGCAGCCAGAACTAACATTAACATTAGCTCTGACCTAACCGTAATGATGACGAAATCGTTGAGTTAAACCGGTCCGTACACACGATCAAGCGCACTTGTAATTGGTAGTTGATTACCTCGGCTACTATATTTACGGGTATTGACCATCTCCAGCCCTTCGACTTTCTACTATGACCTGTTATATACATATTCCATAGAATCATTTTATTTATATAAGCTTCTTTTTTAGGCGTGCGTCTGATGTGCTATCCGCCGTCATCTACCCACTCTAATTTGTTACGGCTGCCGTCGTTGCATACAGTTTTTTCAGTCCTGTTCCGGGGAGGACAGACGGGGAAGGGGATACACGCTTCGTTCGAACACCGTAGACCGTGGTCACATCTGTTCATGTGAGTACTTCATTCATTATTCACGCCGTTGCTAAGAGGTAAAGAAATAGAGGGAATAATATCTATAAGATAATTTTATCAGTTGACAGTACTGGAAACTGAATTTCAAGCAGAGATAAGATAAATAGGTGGATAGAGGGAAATACATAGCGACCGTCGGAAACAGACAGAGGGTAACGGTAGTAGGATGCTTCTGGCATGCAAGCCCCTTATCTTTTTTTACCACGTCGTTAGACTCAACTTATTCAATGGTGGTAGGGCGGATGGTCTGTTCTTAGCTTGATAATAGCAACAGTCATATTCGTATGACAAGAGACAAAAAAAAAAGTTGTAAGGAGTGGCGGAGAAACAACCAGAGTGCTGTTGACTTAGTGAGTAAATAAATGAATGTTTTTCTAGAGACACAGAAAAGTGCACTGCTGCCAATCGTGTTGCCACGCTTGAAGACAAAAGGATTCATGAATACGGGGCAAACGCTAATAAGCATAGGGCAAACATTCTCGTTTTCTTTATCTTCTTTCAAATTCCGAACGCTGTAGTAGCTACAGCGCGGCCCTACAAATTTCGATGGACCAAGATGCTGCCCCAAGAAAAGTAGTGGTCACAAATATAATAGATGGAAAAAGAGCGCGGTCTGTAAGTGGAAATTTTCTTTTTGTTCTCATATGATGGTTATCTACTGTTAGAACGAGTGCTGAAAGGACGGAATGCAACGGAAGATAGCGGACGGACATCCGTGAATGCTAGGACTGTCCACAAATGATACAAATAGCTGGAAAAAACGATGACTATCAGGGCATTGGTACCGCAACTGTAATTGTTACAATCATCATGAGCCTATTTCACCATATTCAGTATCATCGTGTCCTAGTAAGGACTCACATGATCATAGGAGCTTCTTATAACCTCCTTGTCCCTATAGAATATTCCTTTTTTCTCCCTGTCACTTTCCTTCACTTCTGATAATAGCTCTTCGACAAGCACCTATGCGACGATGACAAATTTTGCTGATTCAGTTTTTGAATAGACTTTTGTACTTGAAAAACGAAAAAAAAAAGCTTGAATAGCGAACAATTACATCAACTCGTTCACACTTTGTTCGATTCAGTTCAATGGCGCAGAGACTCGAGTTGAACCTGCTAGCAAATTGGGCAGTTCTGGTCACGTTGAAAAAGCATGCCTTTCCTCTCACTTTCCACTTTCAATTTCAATTGATGTTAAAATTTATCTCATCCACCATTTTAGCAGACGACCAAGTAAACCAAGCTATCCATGCCTAGAGTACCCCATATCTGCTGTTCGTCGATAACTAGTGTAACTATTTGTGTCATAGTTTTAGCAGGCAAGTGTAGGATGTTAAGCTCAAGGAGTTGCCATGTCTACCATGCGAAGAAGCTTCAACTGAATGAAATAATTTTTCTGCTGGAAGGAAATATTTGCTTTTTCTATGAAAAGGTTCTATGTCGCTTTGAAGAGGCTAATAAGTAGTCGTCGTAGCCATGTGTGTCATACGATGCACACAATTTAGTCGAGTAAAAGGATACTAAAGCTGGACCATATATCAATATAACGTAAAAATGTGGGGCTCAATCAAATCCATTTCAAGCAGCGGACCGCATTTATCGATTCGAGATAATGATCGCACTTACCAATTGAAGAATGCACACCCCAATCATGAAGGCTCTTCCCGAGCAGCAGTAGCAGCAGCATCCCATCGCGCAATCTGTGCTTCTATATTTCCTTTCGCTGCGATATCTATTTATCCTTGTCAGCTGTCTCACTTCGCAAACCGCTAGCGAAAACGTCGCGGGGGCGCTTCACGTGCCGATGGCTTCGGGTACGTATAACAGAATAGCAATAATAACAGTGAACTACCTCCTTTTTGTTACTTTTATTATATAACCGTTCTCTGGATGACCACGGCTGAGATCAGCAGGTCGAGGGGGGACAATTTTAATACCTGTAGTAATAACGACGAAAGCGTTAACAGGAAATCAACAACATGTCGCGGCACGACGACAAACATCAACAACACGAACACTGGGAAAGCAATCTGGGCACGCAGTCAACTTGACTGGCGCGATCTCCATGGTTGTGTCCGACACCGCATCACTGCCCCTACTACTTCTACGATGTTTATTGTCGATATGTGCGTTTTTGCCTCTTCCGCCCACGACTGCCTTCTGATGAACTCCTGCTGTTCGCTCTGTGCCTATTAGCTCAGTGATTTGGCAAGGATATAAACGATAAGTTTGTTACACAAATAGTGCAACGTTCTAATCTCGTGACACCTGCTCTCCACCTGCCCTGATCTATATATATCGGGGCAAGAGCACCGATTGTTCGCTATCATACAGGCTAAGCGATAACTTTTGTGCGGTTATTTTTCTTTCTGCTCCTGCTAAAAAGCAAATACAATTGATGTTCCTGTGCTCAAACAACGAACGAGTCAAAGACGAGCTGAGTAGTTTTACGGAGATATACATAAATTAACACCACTTATTGGTAACACCATACCGAAACGCGGAAAATATGTTAGCTGAGTAACGAATTATCCGTGACTATTCACAATACGAGTCAAAATAGTAGACGCATTGTCGTTACTGCTGCTGTCTACGTATCCGTTTCTGTAGATTTGTCTCGCTTCTACCATCACTGAGGCAACAACACACACACACACATATATATATATATATATATATATATATATATGTACGTATACGATGAATTATTAGGTAGCAGCAGTACTTGTATGATGATAATCGGTAGACTCGACAAATTAGTAGCTCGTGCACGTATATTATCCTATCTCTTCAATCGCATATTTGAATCGTGTAGCAGACGGAGACGGATATTACCAGCACCCGTTGAAGCTATCACAAAAAGCGGAGCGCGTTTCGTCGATATCTGCGCTTGTTGCTAGTTGTGCTAGCGATAGCTTAGGAGGTAACGGCGTAGTATTGTCATTGTCCGTTAACAAATTGCGTTGTTTTACGTGATTTCTATACGTTTGAGCAATTCAGCATAGCAGCGTAGGCCCAGGGACGTTGGCAACAGTCACTGTTTGTCTGGGTTCATTTAACGATAGAGTAAGCAGCTTCTTTTCGTCTACGAGGTTCACGCGATACCGAACTATTAATAAGTGGATAGCACTTCTCAACGGGCGACAGACGATCCTAGAGAACAAGCGAAGATGCCAGCATAAAAACACCGCCCGCTGCTAGAGTCCCGCACCTGCAACGAGGTCTCGAAACGTCCTCGCTCCTCCCACCGCAGTGACACAAACTCGTGCTAAAATGGATAAAGACGACTGCATCTGAACAAATCATGGCCTGTAACTTTCATGTGACGCGAGCGCTTCTCCAAGGCTGATGCTTAGATAAGGCAATCGGCAACCGTCCGCCCGACGATTGTCGCATGCAGCAGCGTTCCTTTATTCTAACGTTGTCACGATATATTTCGACGCTGAGAGAAAACGCCGACGGCGACGGCGATGATACGGTGACACAGCTCGACTTCAACCAGAAACAGCAGCAGCAGCAGTGGCAATCGCTTTCCTTTTTTCGACCTGACTCGACTCTCTTTGTCTCTTTACTTCCTCTATTATGTTTAACAGCAGCGATGACTGCGTCTGCTGCTGCCGCCGCTGCTAGCCAGCGGCCTAATCCTAGCGAACGCGGCCTCCGTATCGCTGCTGCCGCCGCTGCTGCTGCTGCTGCTGATGCCGTCGCTTTTACCTGATGTGCCGATGACTAGCTAACGTCTTGCTGTCTTTTCTGACTTGTAGAACTGTTCCGGTTCGACTGCTCACCGACTCACACTCAACAGCGCCTAGAAAGGCCTGTCTGCATCCGCAACCACTACACTCTAAGTGACAACAAATGATCAGGCCATCATTGCACGCTGTCCTGTGGCACCATTTCAACTTGTAGTCGTCGTTGGGCAGCGGCAACAGCTCAAGATGCTGCTGTTGCTGTTACTGCTCACAGCAGCAGCAGCAGCAGCAGCAGCACCGTACTCTTTCGGTTGGCTGACTCGCTCGAAAGTTCGTCCACTAAAGCAAGCGGTGCTATGCTATGCTGTGCTGTGGTGGCCCGCTCTGGTGGGTGCTGCTAGTTTAGCTCCGTCTGACCGTGCCTGGCTAGCCCGCTTACGCACCCCAGGCACAGCAACCAGGCAGAACGAACCAGTTCCAGCAGAAGAGCTGTGATCTTCCCTCCCTCACTCATTTACTCACTCACTCCTCACGTTGTTTATCTTCTTTTACTTCGATTGTGGCGCTGCCGTCGCGGTAGGAGCAGCTCCTGAGAAGGAAAGGGCGGCGAACGCCGAATGAATAGACCACTCGATGGACTAATAGTACTGGCAACGGTGAGAAACGATAAAACGCCGCAGTCGCTTCAATAACAACCATTTGAACTCAGTTTTGGCGCGAACAGAAGATCCGCAGAAAATTACAGGACACAAACGAAAGCGAATAACGAAAGTCTTGATTTTTTCAGACAAGCGAACCTAAAAGTCGGGTGAGGCCTTAAACAATAAGAGCTTTGTGACCTGCGCAAAAGAAGGTCAAAACATATACCCTCGTGTCAAAGCCTAACACACGTATCTCTATCAGCCATACCTTATTTCGTCATTCCACAACCTCGCTGTCGGTGTGCCCCGCGCCCGTAGAGTGACGCGAAGCTTGTAATCTTTGTTCGGATATTTATTAGTAAAAAGAATCACAGCCAACATTCAAGCCCATAGCTTCAGTTTGGTAAGGTTGTAACCAGAAATATAATTATCTGGCCCCGAGTGAACGGAGTCAAGTATAATACGAAGTCAGGACAATCTCAACTTATGTTAAATGACTATGCAATTTGGATTTTATTTCAGATCTTAGTTGGATCACAATGGGCAATCGAACACAAGTGAAAAATGCAAATTTTTGTGGAAAAAAATTAAAATTCAGTTTTTAAATTGTTGCTATCTCAAAAACAATGCATACCTTCACATAGAGGCCTAACGCCTCAGCAAAGGGACCAATTATCTTTAGAACAGCAGATTTGACCGTCTTGGTAGCTAGGTGGGCTGTTGCAGGTCCAGACCTTTATTGAAAGAATGATGGGTGAAGCCCGTTTTGCTTGGACGACGAACAGGCCATGTGTAGCGTGAAATTGGCTTCTGGACTCATCGGAATCAATAAGAGAACGTGGAAAACGATAGTTCAAGTCGAGTCAACTTCGACATTTTATTGAACAGAAAGACGTGCTTGACGGGCAGTCACTGGACAACGAACTCATCAACTGTAGTAGTCATTTTGAACTAGATAAGATGGCTAGAGTAAAAATTCCCCAGCTAAACAAATAGCTAGGATTTCACACCTGTCCACACGATTGATCGTGTTAATTGGACAACGACTCAAATAGCGGCAGTCGAGCTGCACGCGGAAAGTCCACCTCAAAAAACAGTGCTTATCGTCAATAATAGGTCACCGATGCAGTTTAAAGGAAGAATGATACATCAACACCCAGTCGAAATCCGTTCCATGCCAGGGCCTAACACCGGATTTGTTCTTCCGTTCGTTAAGGAGTTTCTTAAAAACAACCCTCAACCAATAATCGCGATGTTTAATGGAAACTATGAGGAACGCATGCATTTAAAAGAAGTCAAATGTTCTCTCAAAGATAAGGGAATCCGCTGCCTCACTGAAAGAGTATGGACCGAAATGTACACTATCGGCGGTAATTGTTCGCCTAAAATGTTCGAAAGCAAATAGGTACTTATCAGAAAGCATTCGGAATGAGCTTTCGAAGTCGTCGATATGATCCGCGCGCATGGAGAGCTGGTGAAAAGAGGCATTTGCCCCTACCCAAGTGACCCCAAAGTCACGGATGCCAGCTCCAACGTTAACTCTTGTCGAGCCTGCTATTTTTTATAAAACAACCTGCACCCCGAATGCCTATATATGCTGAACTTATTACTCAACAGAATTAAGAAGAGTGCCTACACTGGACAGCGAAAAAGCTAGCATGCAATGTGCGTTCGCTTTGATCCTTGGCATTGCATCAAATCCCAATTAGCTGCATTCGATGCCATCTGTCGGCAGGTGCTAGGGGAAACGAAGCGGCGGTTCCAGGTGAACATGCGACCACAGGAGGACACGGAGGAGTACGAGGTATCGTCAAGAAAGACTCCACTCGACCACCTACTTACCGCCCTACGATAAACTCAGCGATCTAGATCAATGAGCGCCCTGAAAGATTGTTGCAAACGCTAACTGCGGCGTTATGGAACTCTAATAGCTTCTGCTTCTTGGGCCTCCTACTGCTTTTGGCCTTCTAAACCTCGACATAATAGTCATATATGAAGCCTGGTATGCCGTTCAACGTACCAGGTACAGCACACGTACCATCGATCAAACCAGAAGCCAGACGAACGCGTTAGGGTATGCTCTAATTAGTCCCTGGGCGACGTGGGAATATCTGTATCGAAAAACGATTGTGTCATTCTAAATAGTCAAAGGCCCAACGTCATAGCAGGACAAGTCGTGTCAAACCGGGCCGAACGATTAACAGTACTTGTAGAAAGATTGGCGCTAAGTTTCAATGTTTTGCTCAACGTATCGCTAACAATCGTAACAAGCTGCTTTGATTCAGTAGACTCGAGACAAGACTGCCTATTGATACCGTGACGGAGTCTGGGCAATGGATACCAACCAACAAAAAGGAACCGACATTCACTAGCGCAATAAGGTCCTCCGCTATCGACTACAGAAAAATCTATATCGATAAAAGATATTTATAAATGTAATACTCTATAGTTAGTGAATACTGGATCTATATACTTAGAAATATTGCGTTACGGCAAGATAGAAGTCTTTCGATTTATTATCACTGTAGTAGGCTTGCATAGGGTTCCAGTTGGCGAGTCTAGTCAGGCATTGGAGCTCGATAGTAGCTTCATGTCTGACTCCAATATAGAAGATTCCTGCGCCGACCGATGGCCATAGCCGATCTGTCCTATGCTGACTTCAAATGTTGCCTATCAGTACCAAACTAAAGTTCTCTTACCAGCAGATTCAGCCATTTCCGATGTCAAAAAGTTTTTCTACTTGGTAAAGATAACTTGCGACTTTTGCCCACATCCTCATGCTAGGTTAGTTTTTCCATAAAATTGTGAGAAAACGTTTTGGGCAAATGTAACCCAAACTGAGTTTGAACTTAACAAGGCTAGCGTTGTCTTGAGTGATCAGCAACCGAATTGTCCTTCTATCAATCGGTAGCTGCAGCTCTTCTGAATCTCCATTCTTCTCTAGGCTTCTTTTCACAGCCGTTAATAAAGAAAGCGTTATACATCGCTACAATAGAACGTGACCATTGAATCTAATGCCAAAAAAGGTTCCATGGATTGCATAAGTTAATCTCTTCACGTCCCAATGTATCTTCCCGCAAAACTGTGCATAATAGAAATTATATTTGTCATCATAATTATCATTTTTCTGTGTTGACGCCTATTAAACGATAGTCAAAATGCCCATTCGCGTATTATGATGTAAACCACAAGTAACATACTGGTTGAGTGACGTTTGATACTTATCGCAGGTAAGAGCAAAGCAAAAAGTGTTCAACGTTTTGAAAATCAAAGCATTTGAATAGACCAAGCATCTAAAATGGCGGAAGTGAATCGTTGATCTTCCTCGACTCCAGCCAGGCAGAAAACAGCAACGAACCAAACGTAATCGTCGTACCATAACAAGGCCCGCAGAGGACGGGTTTTTGTCACCTCATCTGAGAAACGTAAACCCTATACGACGAACTGGATAGAAATACGTCATGGTTAATGATGTGATAGCGTGACAGACGTTAGAGCAGTTACTGCTCTAGTGAAAGACATCTGCTCATCCTCCATACCTGATAACACAGTTTACTTCATTTGAGTGCACGGGCACATTCAGAATAGTGTTCATAGTTCTAAGGCTTGCACTCAAATAAACTTAAACTTCAACCAGCAGAAAAAGAAAAAAACATGGCCCTTCAATAGTACCTGGCTAGTAGGTTACTTGTTCTGCTCTAAGTAGCCGCTTGTCTTAACTATATACACAATACTATCAAAATTTTGTCAAACCTTACTCTGTATTTGACGAACTATATTATAAGGATTTGACTTAGGAATGCACCGGCATCGCGAATGTATCTGCGCGGGACACGAAATGGTACAGCATTAGCGGTTCTGAGTACTACATAGGAGAACGCAAAGATGGGTGATAGATTCAATTTTGGACATAATCCCAGTTTGATCCTCCAGTAAAAACAGATCAGTAGCAGGAAAACCTATGAAACTAGTTATAGTTCCTTCTCGATCTAGTCGAGCCCTTCAGATTGCTCGTACTGAGTTCTTTTTTATTCTGGGAGGTCTTTGAAGTAGCGCTAAAAGAGCGGCACCGAGCCATGTCGTGAAAAGACAACTAAGGATGAGCTATGAAAATAAACGTTTTTTTTGGGGGGTGGGGGTGGGCAGATCGCTTGCAACGATACATCTTTGAATAGAAGTCCATTGCTAATAATATTCATTAGTGCCCTGCAAACGTGGCATTTAAGGCTAGATATCACGGTTAGATATCAAGGCTAGATAAACGCGGATGTCACATCATCGTCGACATTGTACAGTCATTGATTGAGGTCATCATTGACATAGGTAAGAAGTTACCGGTATTCATAAATATATTCGGCGAATCAAATCACTTAAGTTTTAAACGGGCAGAACGTTGCATCCACTGCTGATGTCCCCGAAACTTGTAACTTCTCAGTTGAGCCACTATGAAAGAAAGATTGGGTTTAGTAAAAAAGTTCATTTAAAAAAAAAATTAGTTGACCAATGGACGTACTGAACTCTTATATGCGTGACAGACGTTGAGTGCACCACTAAAAATACTCCTCTTTTTTTCAAAGCAGCCGTACTCTCTTATTCAATACTGTTAAGAATAGCTTTACTCAATAATCTAGGCAAAATAATCAATCTTGAGATGTGTACTCCCTTATTTGACGCAAATGTCCAACGTCATCTTGAAAATTTTGAGCTGTTCGAAATATGTTCTACGGGGAAAAAATCGTACGTTCGCCTTTTTGAAATCGTTGAACGCTTGTTTTGTAAGTATTTTTATTTAAATGCGTATCGTGAAGTATTCGTGCTGACGTGTGGGGCTCACGGACAAACAGTACTCTTGG